AGAGCTACAGATAAGGAAGATTTTTTTGTATTTACTTTTCAAAATTTTAGGTTGGTCAGGCCTAAGAAGCCACTGTATGTACATCCAACAGCCCTTACTGTTCCTTTTGCTCCCAAAGCAATTTAGAAGAGGGAGAAAGTGTACAGAAGAAAACAACAGTAACTATGACATTTTCCCACGCACATCTCTAGTCTACACAATGCGATTGCCATAAATTTTATATCCTTCTAAATGAAAATGTAAACCAAACATTCTTTTCACCCAGAAGCTCTAAAGCRCCACCATGGCATGGCAATGCATCCAAAAAGAAGGATGACAATCTGTTCAGCTCCTCACCCACTGCACTAATTACCAAAGCATGGTAATTACACATTATTTGACCGCAAAAAACTCTTAAAATACAAAAATGAACAATAAATACACATTTTAAGAACTTCTTTTCTCTTCACGTAAAGCACTTGTTTAAATCTCATCAAAAAGAAAAAGCTATAGTCACCTTAGGGTTTGGAATATTATTGAACATTCACCACTTAAGTATACTCTACCATCAGGGCATACTTCAGACTCTGGATTTTASATTTTTACACTTATTTTCCTTTATGTTTGTTCTCAAAGCTGACAAGTGTGAAAAACAGAGAGGTTTCTTAAACAATACATCCCAAAAAAATTAACACTCAGACAATTGTGCTTTAAGTCAAATRACACACAGTAAAATCCATTCACTCATTTCTAGTGGCAAGGACTCTGCTATTCCCAATGTATTCCTACAAAATGTTGCAGTTGCACAGCTCCTTTTATTTGATAAAATAATCGAGAGTTTCTATTTTTCAAAATACAATATCTCTCTGAAATGTATTCTAATGGTATCAAGAGCTTCACAGGAAGTACTGCTTCAGGAAAGAAACATTTTATCTTACACCACAAGGCTGTCATTCAGGGCACATAAAATGATGATACAAAAGTGAACTCCTGACAGTGCTTCCTAAAGGACATCATGCACTTGGAAAAGCACAAATTGCCACATGAGACTGAAGAGATACAGACAGTTTTCAGAAATCAGAATATCCTCAATAGGAGAATGAAGGAAAGGGAAGAAGAATTGTGCTTGATTGAGAAAAAACAGGAAACAAAATTACATGGTTTAATGCTAACAYACTTGCAAACAATTGCAGTGAGACTTGCTAGAGAAAACAAGGGTGGGATCTAGACTTCATACAACAGTGCTGGTACCCTGATCAATGGATTTAAACACACAAAAAAAGAGAATATTAAAATTCCAAAGATAAGCTCACAAAAAAAAAAAACAAACCCAAATCTCCCCAAACACCAGGCTTTTAAATAACATGGAAAAGACCCTGGATTGATGAATATACTTTGAAATTAGTACTCAACACAATGACAAAAGGGAACAAAATTTATCTGTTTGAACTGAAATAAAGTTGCTCTATTTAACAGGAAGACCCATTTCTGAAAATAAGTTCCCACAGTTACCATAAGCCGCATTTCATAGGTTTAATGTTGACCTAAAGCACCTTCTTCTAAGTCTTTCATTTTTTTCAAAAGATTTGAAATACATGAGCTTCTAGCCTAAGCTCTACAGTGACCTTATAACAAAATTACATTTTGTTACATGCTTAAAATAACCAGAGTTTCCAGGGTTCATATCCATCACAGTTTTCATCCCTATATTATCAAAACATACGAAATAGTTTCTTTTTAAACATAAAACTACTCACACCCTGAAAATACTTTTTGTGCCAAGACAAAYCTGAACCCCCTCTTTGATTCTTTCAGCTGGTATCACATTAAAAACCCCAAGCACTAAAGAGAGGAAGACAGGACACAAGTTCCAAATCACACTCACATCATTTTAACAGGCTGCTCGCTCTTCGAGTAGCTACAGTGGCAAGTGTCCTTCCAGTAATGAGCTAGCAGTTAATTTCTTACCTAAATAAATACAGTGGTAATGATCAACTAGAAATTACCTGTATTTCTCCTGTTTTGTCTGGGTCTGACCAAATGTAATCAGCTTATAATTACACTAAGTAGCTTGCTTAGCATTCTATTTATAAAACTGATTAGATGCTGCTAAGCAGAGCAGGCAATGGTTTAACACTTTATTTTGATGTTGAAAGCAGAGGCTAGGGGAAAGGGCRCAAGGATGGCAAGGAGAACAAAAACCACTCAGAAAACTGTAGAAAGATTATTATGCATGACCAAATCTGTTGCTTTATACACATTTAAAATWTGTGTTATTTGGTAAATAGCACATATTTAGAATTTTGCAATTATTACTYTTAATAATACTGTCTGCTGTTGACTCTTCCTGGAGAGAGAATATGGARTTGCCCTGACTGGGAAAGAGAAAATCCAGGCTGCAGGAAAATTGTACAGACCATTGCTGAGGTCCTGGCCTGAGGTCAAAACAGGATGTGAAAAACTAAAAGGACATGACATGAGGAATTGCCAGATGTGACAAATAATAAGATACTGACAAAAGCCATAGACAGACCCATGAGGGATGATTGGATTGTACAGGTGTTTAAGGAGACTTAGGTGAGAAATATCCAAATTTCACAGAAAACTGAAGGAGAAGCTTTAACGTATTGGAGATCTTTTGGAAGGAGAACCTGCAACATCAGCACTCCTTCAGTGACTGGATCTGTAACACCACAGAAGGCTAAGATTCTCTACATAATAAATGAGATCCAATAGAGAAATAGTAATCAATAGGTGAATAGGTCTTTTGGGAAGAGACGGGGATTTAAAGAAAATATAAAAATAGAAAGAYCTGCAAGAATGGCAAAGAGGGTGAAGAAAACGAACAGAGATAAGCTAAGCAAAACGGGGCCAGCGCTGTCTGGCACAGTCCTGCCTTTGATCACCATATCCTGATCAGAACTGTGAGACAAACCAGTTGTTCTGACCTAACCACATGTATCAAACTTCCACAATCAAGGAGCCAAGGAGGGTGCCTGGATGCTTCTCCTGGTTAAAAGGAGGACTCCTGCCTGGATGGATCAAGTACCCTGGTTATCCCCATGTCAGTCAACATCCACATCCAACAAACCCTCCCTAACAGGCTGTCAGAAACTGSCTTTGACAAACTGCTTCAATTCAACTCCTCATTTCCTAATTTATATAATGGATGTAATACTACTTTTCTTATCTCCTCACATTTTATTTTTGGCACTGGCAGTAACAAAAATCAAAGTCAACAGTTTAAGTTATTTAAGGCTGTGAGGAGCCATTTTAATCTTGGTTTGCCTCAACACCGACTGTCAGAGGCATGTGGGGGAAGGGATGCACAGGTGGAGCCTGCAGGAGGTAAACAAGACACGGGTGAAGCCTTGTCTCTGGGGGGATTTCGCCTGGCAACACCTCACACGGGCACCTGGAGACACTGCTCACCCCAGAGACTTTTCTCCAATCAGATGGTGGAAGGGCTCCACCAATGGAAGAAGRTTGGACTGGACCAATGGTCTCCTGGTCAGCAGGCAGACTTTGGGAGGAGCCAGCGGGTATAAAAATCAACTGCGCCATGAACCTTGGAGCAGGACTCTGGAGAGCTGAGCCTTTGCAGGTGAGTTTTGCAGAGCTGAGTTTTGCAGAGCTGAGTTTTGGAGAGCTGAGTTTTGGAGAGCTGAGTTTTGGAGAGCTGAGTTTTGGAGAAGAGTCTGTCTCTGTGGGCATGGGGCTGGGGTTTTTGCTCTTTGTTGCTCACTGCTGGTGGTTTTGCTGCTGAGGGGTCCTTTTGCTCCAGCTCCAGCCTGCCTGGATCCTGCCCTCGCCAGCTCTCTCTCGCCCCCACATATCCTCCTTCCCTCCTGGACACTCGGCAGGATTCCATCTGCCCTCCAAGCCTCGAGTGCAGCATCTGCCTCGCCTCGCTCCTCCTCCTGGCCCCGGCACCGCCTGTCCTGCCTGAACCACCTGCCTGCCTCCAACCTCACCTGCCACCGCGATCCTCGCTCCGACTCCACCCAGGGTCCCGGTCCTGTCCGAGTGTCCACTCACCGTGTGTCCAGCACCCATCGCTGCGGGAGCCGCTCCTCTCCCCGAGCTGCTCTCCCTCCGGCAGCAGCGCTCACCCCGTCATGTGGACATCGATGGTACCCCCGGTCCTACTGGTGGTAACACCCGCTCTCTCCCTCTGTCTCCTTTCTTTCTCCCCATTCCTTTTCCATTTTCCTTTCTCTTTTGCTGCCTTTTCCAGCCCCCTTTAGTGGACAGCTACTTATTCACGGTTATCATTACCAACAAATGGCTCTCAGATACAAAGTTTGTCTCGGTTGACTCCAATTCATTCTTGACCATCCATTTTAAAAGAACTCCTCGCASTTCCCCACAGTTGGAATGCGACAAGTGCTTAATATTTTTCTGTTGCTACTTTATCTTTTAGGTAAACCTGAAGCTCACATGTTGAAAGTTGAAATTTTTGAAAGTTCTGAATTTTCACACAGACTGCTGTAAATTGAACTTTGATTCCAAGAATTATTGCCCTGCTTTTACAAGTAAGAGAATGGCAGGAGATTAATACCTTTCATAYTGAGAGAAAGGTACTTACAGGATAGGATACGGAAGAACTGAAAAGAAGACAGAGGAAAATTCAGTTTCTAACATGATAGGTACATGGAGGAAAAAAAATGAAGAAATCCATAAACCAGGGCAAGGGATTAAAAGAAACAACMATTTATCTGTGCTAATTWACAACAGCCCTTATTCCAATTGYTTGTAGAGAACAATAAACATGAGTTCATCTTAACAACAACGTAGTGATAATTTTCCAAACACACATACTCTTTGTTAATCACTGATAGTYAGACATTCAATGAATCTACTACAAATTTGCAATGTCCTGTCAAAGACTATTGTTTCTTTAAAAAATGAAAATAAAAGGGATTGTATTATACATGAGGGGGTTAATTACAAAAGACTTATATTTTCTGCTAATTTAGATTTTTCTGCTAATTTAGATTTATAACAATTGTTTTATTTACCTTTTTGTTTTCTTGTAGTTTTCCAGCTGTAATGTCTGCATACATTTGTATCTTTCCAACTCACACTGCTCACATAGTTCCTCAAGACACAACAGATGATTCTCCATTTCCTCAAAGTTTGCCTCTAGCTGGGCTGTAAAAAATACTTGTATGAATACCAAATTACATCAATAAACAGACAACTCACCTAAACAGAAACAGGATTTCATAAAGGTAAATAATTACCATGCTAATAATTACACACATGTAAATGGATCTGAAAGAGAAACAAATGTCAGCCCAAACCCCACAGTGAAGAGTGGCAGCAGAGCCACATTAAGGGAGATCTGTCTGAGGCTCCCTYGTAGTAAGATGTTGAACCACTCAATTTGCCCCAGTGTCTTGGTTTCACAGGCTTGTAGTCTGTATGTGAGGAAGAGAATCATTCAGGACTCATACTTTTCCTTCTTGTGGAGACTGCCAGTTTAGCCCTTCTGAGATGGCACCAACCCAAGGAATAAAGCTGTGCTGACCAAAGCCAGGTCAAACCTTCATTTATTCATATGAAGCAAAAGTAAAGGATAAAAGTGCCTAACAAGTAAGATCCACAACAGTCAGAAAGGGAAACACATATCATACAATCAGCAAATATTTCCCTAAATTATTTACCTGTGCACAGATCACTGAGGGGAGGACGGAGGGATTGGCAAAAAAAAAAAAAACAACCCAAAACCAAAAAAGGAGTTGACAAAATTAATGCAGAAATGAGTCTGAGGGAAAAATATGTTTTCAGTTCTACATATTGTGATGTGGAACATTTATTGTTTGCCACATACTCAATTYTCTCTCACAAAATCCAGATGTATTCAAAGCGTAATATCTCTATCAYAATTATAATTGGTAGTCCCTTTTTGCTTAAGAAATGGACTTCTCTCAGTGCATTAAAATCCAAATACTGTATTGTGCTAACTTGCTTTTCAGAATGATTGCTCCCTTATTAATCTGCAAAATTCTCAAACACAGCAGGGCTGAAGATAATTTAGTAAGGTACCTATCAACCACTGCTTTTTCCACTTAAAAACCCCCCACCACCTGCTTTGCTGTATTTGCTATTGAAATAATATTAAAAGCCAACAACAAAGGACAGGAAAATAAARAGGATGAAGAAAAGTGAATTSTAGAGAGCAACTGATTCCTAGCACTAGCATTTGAGCAACCTCTAGTGGGAATTGCAGAAAACACTGTGCTCCTGAAGAACAGGAATGGWCTAAAGACCTCTCCAGAAGGCCACAATCCTGCTTTGCTGCAACACCAATTTCAGAAGTTTTTCTCCTTTCTGAAGTGACAGAAAAGTTGCTTTTCACAAAAAAAGTTTAAGACAAGTTCCATTGCAGTAGCCCCAGCTACATCTGAGGATTAACATCTCTCTTACCCAAAAGAGAATATATGCATTGTGCATACAAAGGCAGTGCCAAACAAAACTATAGATTTAATCAACTTGAAACTTAGGCGGTAAAAAAACCTGTCCTTTCTAATTATTTTTTACATTTTAAAAACATATTTATCTTTAGATTAASAATTTTCATGTAGAGCAATATGCCATACTTGCTAGAAATAATATTTTTTTATTAGCTGTAAAAAAAACCCCAACCTTGTTCTTTAAGCCACATCACTCCAATTACAGCAATTTGGCCTGTGTTTCTTACACTACCACAAGCATAACAGCACTATTTGAAGCTTTAATTCTTAGATTTAATTATTTTAAAGTATGGTTAAAGTTTGATCAGATTAAATTAATTTGAATTATCTTCCATCAGCATATACTGGTTTTCTTATTTTACCAGCTATCAGGTATTAAAGTATTTATCTAGAACTCAACTACCACAATTTTTTTAGAAAGCGAGTGTTTTCAGGTAAAATTTACCTAATACAAATTTAGCAAATAATTTTTCTAACTGAAACTTATGTTATCTGTTGCTCTGTGTAAGTACAAAATTTATTAGAATAGCTAAATCACAGCTGTAGTCAGAAAATAGTCTTTCATTTTTCCTACACTAACTTTAAATGTGGCTTTCCTGCACTGTCCCAGCAACTCAAACAAGACAAACCATGAAGGAGTATTCAAGACATTTCTGCGAAGCTCACATATTTTCTGACTAAATGGTGAAAAAGCAAAAACCAGAATGGATGGAAGCAATAACATCAAAGATATTCCCTCTACCTCTAGGCCACACAGGAGCAGAGATTACTAAAACCTTAAAACAAGCAGTGAAAGACATAAGACTAGGAAGAGTGCAATTCAGCTGAAAAAAAAAAAAAGAAGAAGCTTTATATAATTACAGTTCTACTAGTGCCCAATTTTTACCTGTTTTTACATAAAAGATCTTAAATCCAGCTAGTACTATAACACCTACATGAACTTAAAGCAGCTCCTCCACTGACATAGCAAGTATACTAGGAATACTTCTTGTGTATTCCAATCCTCAGACAATTCCAAGTTTACAACACCAAACCTGTATGCCTCTACCAAATACAACGACCCTCTTTGCTGAAGGGAAATCCATCCCGTTCCTCATAGCTATCTTTACACTGTATTATTGAAATTCCTTGGTTTTACATAAAGCTTTCCTTTATTTTCCCTGATTTTCTCAGGGAAAAGATAAATGCAAATTCTGAACAAATTAATACTTCATACACAACTTTAATACTTCATACACAATCACGAAAAAAACTACTACTGACCTTCTGCTAAAGATATAAACAAGGATAGGTCTCCTAAGCACTGCAAGAAGTTCTGTTTCCACAATGGATCTTCACACCCATCTAGCCCCTACTTAAAAAAAAAGCCCAAAGACTCAAGACAGAGAGGGCAAAGGCTTTTATCTTTGTGACTACATTCCYGGCCTTGTTTTCTTCCCAGTCCCACCAGTAAAATATTTTCAACCTATGTTGGTTCTGTCACCTATGTACAAGACCATTCTTTCTGAAAYCAGTATCAAGTTCATGCTTAATATTTGATCTTTAATAAAAAAAGAAGGGAGAAAATTTGATTTGGATCAATGTTTCTGTGTATAGATCTGCTAAAACCAAAACAGATGTTTGAGCAAAATGCCACTTCTTAAAACATGAAACGTATTTCATATTAAGGTAAGCATGTCAGATATCAGTGAGCAGGTATTTTCTACAACATCTCAGATAAAAACTGGCTTAAGTGATGATTCCAATTCTGCATTTTGAAAAGGCAGTAACTGTCCTTTTCACTTTCACATGAGAGTAATTTTTTCTTCAAAGTTCTCAGCAGGAGCTACAACATGTTACATAATAAAATAAATTTATCAAATGAAGACACAGACCTTTTACTTCAAGTGAGGGATGACTGATAAAGTGAATATCTAAGCTAAAGAACTTGGTAAATTGCTAGTGAAAATGTGTCTTGTAATACATAGCAAAAGCTGAAGAATCTGTACATGACTCATACCAATCTTAAGTAGGTCACAAAAAAGGTTCAATTCCATTATCTGAAATTTCTTTTACCAAAAGCAGCCAGGGTCCCCTATCTACTTTCAAAATGAAAGCATTAATAGATTTATTAGAAGTATATCATGTTGTAGGACAGAACTATTACTTGGTTGAAATTATGAAGGTTAACCAAATTACATCTTGGATGAATAACCCAGCACTTTGTGGTTCTATTTTCACTTTTTTTTTTAGAATAGAATGTTTCACTTATATTGAAAATTTACATTTGTCCCTTGTAAAACCAAATGCAGTTTATAAGAAGCAGTTAGTTGAGAGCTATAAAAGCTAAAAACAGTGAGCAGAATGTCACAGTAAATTTCTGTTACATCACCTCTAGAAGGACATATGTTAAAAATGGTGTAAATTATACCTGTCTCTTCAAATAGACTCCATAAAACTTATCAGAAAAAAACCCCAAAACCAAAAAAGAACAACAAAAACCCCAAAACAAACAAAAAACCCCAAATAAAAATAAAACAAACCTCCCCCCCCAAAAAAACCCCAAACCCCTCCCCCCCCAAAAAAAAAAAAAAAAACCACCAAAAATACGCCAAACCCACACGATTAAAAAAATTTCACAGTTGTTTGGGACAACTAATAAGAAACTCTAGATAAAATAATTTAAGTCTGACACAAAATTTAAAGCTAGAAGACTTGGTTCAAATCTTACAACCTTAGCAGTATACCTCAAAATTCATGAGCTTCCCTGAGGAAGCTGCTGAATGCTTCCTTAAATCCTAYTTTTGCAGTACCAAAAATATCCTAGCGACATCCCTCCCCAAGAAATTCTACACTCAGAGTGGGATTAATTCTGGTTCATAAAGCTATATTAGGAATCAGAAGGTAACCCCCACTCATCAGGATTAATATACTTTCCAGTTACGAACTATAAAGGCAATTCTATTAGCTTTTTATTACATTGTTTACCTTTGGTCTACCAGTGGACTGCACATCACTGTGCATGATAATATTAAATCCACTATTTTAATAAATCATAATTTGAACTTTTATTTCCTTGGAATTCTTCTTTTTTTTCCACAAAGCCAATATTAAATGGTTGGCATAGATGATAAAACCTTATTAAACAAGATGGTATAAGAAAATTGTAATAAAAACTGGAATACACTCCTTGGTTCAGAAGTAAATAGCAAAGTAATTGCCAGCCTACCTAGGAACAAAAGCTGATTTGTGCATGTCCACTGACCATAGCAGAATGAGAAATCAGCCTTTGAAGACAGAAAAGAACCCTCCTTTTCTTCACATCACATGTCAGCACATAAATCCAGCTGACCCCACAAAAAACAGAGGTGCAATTACATGAGGAATTTCTGCATGCTTCCCAGTGGCTGTAAGAAAGAGGAGTGCAGGCACCATCCCCGAGGAACTTAGCTACATAAAATCCATGTGCAGACGGCAGTTTTTCAAAGCTTTAATTTGATGCACCTTGTATAGACTTTCATGGAAGTATCAAGAGACTGTGGACAGACAGGATTGCTGCCTGTCAAATACTGCACCCCCCCTTTCAAGACTCASCAATACTCAGAATTTTCAGAGACTAGGAGTCCCCAACATTTTTCCTAATTTTCAGCAGTGGGTCAAYGGTTTTGTATGAGGGCTTCCAGAACTAGTCCACCAAAGCATTCATCTTTTAAACTAAATGAACATGTTAACATTTGGTAAAGTTATAAAAATTGCAACCCACCCACCAAACATGAGGTATTTAGTAACCTTAGTAGGCAGCATTAATATTAACCTATAGAAAAGCTGGATATCACTTCAGAGTATCTTAACTCTGTACATTAATTCAAAATATGGAAAGTGCTTTTGTAACCAACAATTACTCAAAACCAAAGGTTTATGCCTTGAAAGTGTCCCTAGCCAGGTAAATTTCACTCCCATACACCCCAAATGATGAGTTATAACATTATTATATAAAATTATATAGACTCAATCAAAGTGAAGCAACTCTATACGTAAGTGTTCACACTGCTTAAAAACTATAACAATTTTGACTTTAAGATTAGTGTTTTTCAGCTGTTTACAAAACATATGCATTTGTCACAATTTTGGGTTTTATTAAGTAACGACACACACAAAATTTTAAGAGCAATCACTGCTGCCTGCTGATCTTTTWAAAAAAAAAAGAAAAMCAGTTTGTGTAAGAACTACTGTTTTACAACAGAAAAACTGTCTTTGGAAAGCAAAATTAGAATTTTAAAATCCCAACATTCACAACAGCTGAACTGCAGTCTAATCCTCTGTTACTGACTTGAATGCTTGTTATGTCTATAAAAACTTACCTATACTTGCTGTGAGGCATTCCAGATCTGCTAAAAACCCTGGTATTTGCTGAAGCTGATCCTGTAGTTCCACCAGACTATTCCTTTTCTTCTCCCAATGTGCAGAAAGCATCACAACTTCACTATCAACCAGCTGAAACAAACAGGTCTTTAATTGCAAATTTATGTACCTATTTATGAGCACCTTGACTAACTAATTTTTATAATTAATACATTTGGAAACAAAAGGTCAACACAGCAACCCTGCAGCACTGCCACTTGCGTACTCCTCAAGTAAATAGACGTGCTCAAAAAATTCCCTTGCAGTAATGCAAAATGCATTGAACCAAGTAAGATAAAAAGTTGTATCTCAATATAYTAACCAAAGCAAGAAGTATTTTATGGATGTTATTAACTAAAAACAAGATGCACCAAAATTTTGGCAGCAGTGTTGCACTGGTACACAGTAACAACACTGCAGTGCTATAATTTTAGGCATATTTAGATCAAYAGTTTAATGTTGCCAGTCATACCAATTTAATCTTAGTAACAAAACTGAAAACCCTGCAAAATAATCTAGAAAGTTAAAGGAATGACATTTTTAAAAAAGTTGCCTTTGTAACAGAACTGCTCTTCTGTYCTTGTGATAAACTGCAGTAGTGCCAAGTGTTTATTTACACACTTCTACATTAGTTCAATTTTTTATTGTTTGATTCTTCCTAACTTTTATTATGTATTAAGATAATGAGAAAAGGATACACAGCTTAAAAGTCTTGCTTATAAGGCCAGATACTATGAAAAACAGGAGGATCAAGAAATCTTAGGTAACAAATGCTCCCCTTAGATATAATTGAGATGATTAAATTACTGTTTCCCTGCTCTTAACTCCACTACCCATTTTTCCTCTTGCACACAAACTGCAGCCTGTGGTTGTATCCGTATTATGAATTCCTCAATTCTTATAGTTTTTATTTGCAGAAACTGAAGAAGCCTGAGTAATGGGCAAAGGTGTTAAATTTACAATTCTACCCACTTTAGATAAGTTCTTTTAAAAGAACAACTTCTATCTTTTGCAAATTTCCCCAGCTCCCTATTCCTGTTAAAACACATCCTGCTTCACCAGACAAGTTTTGAAAACCTATTTGAAAGCCCAGTGAGAAATAGAATGCTTCAGAAAACCAAACAGTCTTGTTTAAACAAAGCCAGGCCTATTTTYGAGACTAGGATATGGCATTTATATCAGTTAAACAGTAAAGCAAACAAAAAACCCRAAACAAGCCATCATGAGATGGGGACAAATACCACAAATATTTCAGCCCTGAGATAACTGAACATAGCTGAAATTGCAATCATCTAAAAGGACAATTTTGTATACAGAACTGGTAGTCAACATCTACCACTTAATACGTTAAAGGCTGGAGCTGTAATTAAAGCTTGGAATTTTTCTTTCTCTATTCAACGTTTATAAATAAGACAGCACAAGTAAGCAGGCACAGGATACTGGACAAGTGGACCTCTAGCTCTTCTACAGTACAGTCAATCTTCTGAGCTTACACAGTTTTTATTTTCCACATTTTAATAAAAAAAAATAATAAACAAAATTCCAMTAGCAATACATACACTAGGTTGTGCCTAAAGTAAATGTCTGAATTGAATGGAAAGTTTCAGTCTTTTTGGAAGTTTTTGGTTCTCATTTTCCCAAGCAGCCATAATATGTGAGATCAGGTTATAATTAGTATAAAAAATTAGTTTAATATATACGAACYGTCACATTGTTTTCAAAACCACAATTTTTAAAGTAAACTATAGCAAGTATTATGAAATTGTGATCACATCATTTAAGAGATTTTCTAAAAGTAAAAAAGATCATTATGAGCAGTGAAACATGCCAAACTGACAAGGACAACTCCATCTCCAATGCCTGAAAGCTTCCACTAGAACGCAGGAAAACCAGGACAATACCATTAGGCAAAAGAAAGAACATAAGAGACTTTCTTTCTTACTGTAAATACACAGTAAGTTACTTATCCAKTGAAAAAAGATAGAGAGACGTCTCCCAAGTAAACAGAAGAGCCAGGAAGGATTCACCCAGCCAAAGTGAAGATTTCAGCCAGGACAGAGAACCACAAAGCTCAGTCCTGCATCATGGCCATCCGGCTTACACTGTCTGCCCCTTAAACATGGCTCAAAATTGAAAATCTAGTGCTGAGTAATACATCGGTAACTCTTACTGGAAGTTTCCTTTCCCTTTCACAAAGAAACCACACAACTTGTTACTTTGCTTCCAGGGCCGGAATAGTGAATGGAATTAGGAGAAAGCACAAACACTTCCCTAATCTTTTCCATCTGACAATCTAATTGTGCTGTCTCTGGTGCACTAGGAGTGGGCAGCGCACAGTGCCAGTGCCAACAGCCCTGCACTGACACACACCACTAACATGCCTCAAGCCCAAATACATTCTATAATTTCCCAGCCACCTCTCACTGCTTTCAAAGAGCTACAATAGTAACATGCAACATCATCTTTGCATCACATTATTTCACCTTTGCATTACACCATACACTCACATTGCTGTGTGAGTGAACAAGGCTGGGTGTGTGCTTACCTAGGGGCCAAGGTAAAGCCTGCAGCCTGGTACTAACATTTTTAGTTTAAATTATTTGCACATTTTAAAATATTTTACACATGGTATTGCTGCTTTTCTTACCTCTCCAGCTTTTGCACAGTCTTTGGCTCCTTTATGAAGGGCAGCCCAAGCATCTTCATATCTGAAGAGAAGAGAAATTACTGTTCTTACTGTGCTCTCCTTACAAAGGAATTCATGGATGTGATGGATGTCACTGTGCTTATATTTACAGATACTACCACAAATTACAGCTTAAAMAGCTGTGTCATCCTTTCCACTACTTAATGCTCTGCCAAGACAAATATGCAGTGAGAAATAATTTCATTTAAAGAAAAAGTGATTTATGTTTTTTAACCTGCCAGCTTACATTAAAAGCTAAATGGACCCAGCTATACTTATAAAACACACTGCCTTAAACATTATTTGTAACCCAATTTCATTMAGAAAATTCAAAAAATTAACAAGATTGTAATCACACATATAACYCTTCCTACAAAAAAGAAGACATAAGGTAATTATACCAAATACTTCTAAATTATAAAACCACAGACTGGGGCTCAGTGGTGGGCTCCTTCATCTCCGTGCATTAGAACACAAACTAAAGTCATCTATCGAATGTGGCTTTTCCTCCAGCAATTCTGTTTCATTAAAACAGCAGCATTTAAGGATTGGGCAAGCTTTAAACACATTTCTCATTTGGTAACCATTCCCACACTATTAAATGTAGAACTACCACAAACCTATTARCAACACTTAAGTTTTCGTCTTTTCTTAATCTAATGAAGTTATTTCTGAAATTATAGGCAATAGACACTAATAAAGAAAAGGAAGCTCATACCTGCTTAGTAATTCCAGTCCAGCAGAAAACTCTGGCAAACAGTGAACAGTTCTAAAAAACAAATTGCAAATAGAAAAAAATTGTTAAGCACAGAAAGCTGTTATAAAATACGTCTGCACACACTCAACAGACATGCTGAGCACAGAAACGTTTATCACTGTTTGCTTTCACAAATATTTTGCCAATTCTGGTATAAAATGCACTACACAGTGTATCTTAAAAGAATATTCCAAAGCTTTTTTCCCTTGTTGTTTTATGACAGTCCATTCTTACCTCTTTTCGACTGTGTCTATTAAAAATCAGTTCTATGAAATTATTTCATAGCAGAGTTAACAAAGTCACCGGATGAACATGGTTTTAACTTAAAACAGGACACAGAAATATTCTGAAAAAAAGACTACTACACAAGTTCATGTCCCTCAATACAGATACTGCACTTAATATATTCTACACCAGAAATAAATACTAAGCTAAAGAACCTTTGCCAGTTTAATGCTCTGATGATCTCCTAKCAGATGCATACACTTTGATTATTAACAGCTTGAAATACAAAGACATCTTATAATAAGTTATAGAAAACTAACAATGCGGCATTTCAAAGGATGTGAAGACCGTGATGTCATCCAAAATTTGTCTCTTGGAAGATCACCCAAATAGAATGTTTTGCACTATCACCCGAACAATGTGAACGGGAAAAAAAGCCTACCATAAATTAAATCTTTTTTTTCAGAAGGCAAGGGAAAAGTGAAAGAATGAGTGGGCTGGAMAGAGACCTCAGCAAGTCTCTATTGCAATCCCCTGTTAAAATGAGGACCACCTATGAGTTCAAAGCAGCTTCCTCTGGGAGCTTTTCTCAGCTTTTCATGTCTGATTATCTCTTGTTTCAAACTACCCCTATCACCTTATGTGCYCCCACCACACACCAGTTTCCTCAATAACCACTTCCCAGGTAATGACAGGCTGCTGGTAGGTCTCCAAAAGTCACCTGTTCTCCAGACTGAACTGCCTACCTCAGCCCTTCCTCATGCACAGATCTCCTGCCCCAACCATTTTGGTGGCCCACCACGAAATTGCTCCAGAATATTAATGCCTTTCTCACACAAGGGACTAGACCAGACAGGACAGTATTCTAAGGTGTGCAGAATGCAGGGGAAAATCAACTTCCTCAATCCTGTTGTCTGGGGTCTTGTTTATATGGCTCAGTCCATGCTGCAAGGCACATCACTGTCCTGCTRTCTGCCAAAAACCCTGGGGTCTTTTTAGCAGCTATTCTATCAGGCCCCATCTGTATTGTTGCATGTGATACTTTCTTTCCAGGGAAACRTGGAATTTGTACCTCCTGAATTTCACGAGGCATCTCTTTGCACATATTGTCATGGACTTCTGTGGATTGAATATCTTCAGACTATTTTCATTCACTTTTGGTCAATCTCCTCGAACTCTTTCACTAAGCCCAGGGACTGAAGCCACAGAGGCATTAAATAACTCAACAACATCTGTATTTGCTGTAATTCACCCCATTCACCACCAACCCCACGTTTTCTTTCAGCCTTTTATTACCAGTGCAGAGCTAGAAGCTCTTCTTGAACTTGACATCTCCTGTAAATGTAAATTCCAGGTGAGCTCYGGCTTTCCTAACGCTATTCCAGCATGCCCAAAAAGGTATGACACCCTCCAGGACACTTCTTGATTGCATACTGATGTGTAGTCCTTTGAGCAGCTGGAAGCTAAAGGACTCCACAAGAATGGGGATTTAATRATACAGAGGGTTCTTGAGGCTGTTTAACAGAAAACATCATTCTCTCCTTGATCAGAGGGTCAGCAACAAACTCCCACTGCAACACCACCCTTCCTTGCCTCTCCTCAGATCCCACTCTGATGTTCTCAGCCATCCTTACAATCAAGCCAGGCTATGTTTGTCCCTGAACTTTATCAGCTAAGCAGAAGCCACCCCAGCAGTCAATTTGCTTCTTCTGATTCAATCAGTTCACCCAGCGCTTTTCTCAAAAAGTGGTGGATATTTACAGTACTCCAGAAGAAGCAAAATATTATGGACTGGAAATACACAGAGAAGGCAGGTGCCTAAAATAGTTTTAGTCAAACCTTCACTCATTCTTAGTTTAGTCTCCATGCCTTGTCCACACAACTGGTCTTCCAGCAAAGAAAAAAAAAAAACTGTTCATCCAAAACATGGGAATTCAGAACTTAAGACAGTTTATTTCAGATGCTTTATTTTTAGCACTAGGCCTGTTAAAACTAATTTGTGTCTACATAGCATGTTACAGTAAGAAGATGCTTTACACATCTGTAAAGCTGATTTGAAGCAGTAACTCTCACAGATTATCATTTACAGATACCAAGTAGTCTTTCCTTGTAACTTACACAGGTTGAAAGAATGAGCAGAGAACTAAAATGAAGGGGACTAAAAAAATCCAAAGAACCAAAAGAAAAACACCCAAACTAGCACAATTCTCAAAATTTCCTGAAACAGATAATTGACGTATTTAATTACACACATATTTTCCACAATAGAAAGGCTCCTATTTCTGTTTTCACACTATAAAAACCCTGAGTTACAATTTTAGGACAGGAAAGTCACAGAGATTGTAAACAATTACATTTCAGTATGCTGCAACCTGAATCTTCTATGAGGTACTACAATAAYACTGCATATTCATTTAATTTAAATAGTAACTTATAAACTGATTGACAGCCATTAGAAATTATTCAGGCTTCTCAATGAAGGCTCTATTAAGCAAAGCATTTGCTTTGGTTAAGCTTTTCTGTTGTCAAAATAGCATTTTGTGAAGTTATATGCAAATGTTCTTACAACTGGCTCATACACATGAGCCACACTTCAAATCTCTCCTTAACAAGAGCATCCTATATTAATGCTATAWATTAAGACTTTAAGAAGTACCTCTGCCTGCTTTTCTTTGCATCTCTTGATTTGTCGCCCAAAGTCTTCAACCTACAAATCGAAACACAAATCCATTACACATTTATAACATCAAAAACAGAGAACAAGTTGTTTGAACCCATAATGTGTTAGTTCCAGTCTATTACAGTTAAAATTTATTTCAGCTTGTTTTACAAATAAATCAAATTTCACTTAGTTTTGTGGAGACCTTCATATGAATTTATTTCCACAGATGCTGCTTCTAAATCTTGAGATTTTTTGTACAAGTGCATTAGCCATTTCAGTAGGAAAACTTATGGGAGTTGTGTATACAAGTAATTGCTCTCTTGATACAGTTTCCTTAGCAGACAGGAATTAAAAACCTCCACAGAARTAACCAATCCAGCCCTAAGGAATACTATTCACAGGAAGGCTCCCACAGCAAGGAAAAGCATGACAGTCACACATGCACGTGTACCCACTTGCTGTAAGTCTGCCAACACAAGCACAAGCACAATTTTTCCTCTGCCAACTTTCAGAAACTCCAGCAGCACCACCACAGTGCACTGCTACTGAGCATATCTAAGGCTTGTTCCACGCATTTCAAACTGACTGGTATCTTGCTCCTCAAAAGCAAAAAAACCCCTCCAAACGCACCAAACAMCCCTCCCCATCAATTCTTCCCACTCTTTTTCAGACAACCTGTATATGCTAGTCAAGTTACACAGTACAGTGAGAAACAAAACCTCTGGCTATTCCCTGACCACCAAGACAATGGCTGTCCTCCATCATTACGCCCTTTGGAGTTACCGCTGTCCAGGACAGCAAAAGTTAGGAAGAAATAAATGACCCAGGCATGGGCAAGAGGGAAATGAGCTATGAGAGCCAAAGATATCCTCCAGAGAGATCAGTAATCCTGAGTGACCCAGGGACTGAGGAACAGCCTACCATACAGATATTCAGGCTGCTTCAAGGGGGAGTGAAATCACCCCACCCAGATTTGACTACATATTTTCAAGGAACTAAAAGAAACTTCGAAGCTCTACAGCAAAAGAGGTGATTAGCAATTTCAGAAAAGACATGCTAAGGCAGGTCTCCACTCCTTCTTCGAGAGCTGTTTATAACAGCCAAGCCAAGTAGCAGCAACCACAGAACACTGAGGAAGAACCCCACTGCTGAAGGAAGCCGGGCAATTTGCCCTTCTCCTCTGACATGTTCCCCAGTTTGCATCCCAGCCTGAAAACAGCAGCACTCCTCTGCATCCATTTTGGTTGTTTTTCCTCCTCCTACAAAAGCTAAGAGGTTAATGGTCAAAATTCAGATACCTTGCTCACAGGACACACAGAAGTAGACAGCAGATGAGCAGGGAAAGAGGCCACAGAAATGGCCAATAACTCCAAACTGCTCTCTTTAAACCACACAACCCAGATTTAATATTTTTCAGCGATACATACATGTTCCCTTATTCCTTGGGAAGTGATATTATTTTCTCAGAAGCTATAGAAGACCTTCCCCCTCACAATTTCAAGTAATTCAACTGTTCCACTTTGCAAGCAGTTATGTGTAGTTAACAAGTTTGCCACATCTTGACACCAGAAATACTTTCTTTCGGTTTTGAGAATTTGACAATTTTAAGCTAAAGTCTCAACATCACGAAATTACTTGTATTATCACTTTTATGGGGGGCAGAACAGAGYAATCCAGACTACCAGGAAATGAGGTTGCATTGTCTAGGAGGGAAGAGGGGGCAAACCAGGTCAACTTGTGTTCTGGCTACATGGGGACACTAAAGGAAAAAAAAAAAAAAGAAAGATTATTTCAACAGCCTCTGGTACCGTGGTTCTGAGATACAGGTTCCCAATGGCAAAGAAAAAAAGATTACACCACAGATGAAAATACCACTTAAAGACAGGACACTGGAACAAGGGCACATTAATGGAGCTGCCAAAACACAAAGACGGGAAACTGTGAAATCAGGGACTTTCTCAGAGCAAAGTACTGCAACACAAGGAAGAACGCAAATTAAAAACTACACGGAAACATACTGACTCCACTGCAGTAGTATATGGAAATGCAAAGTTAAATGACCATCAGATCTGGCATGTTATGACCTTTCTGTTGTCCTCTTTCACCACATGAAAAACACCCTTTTCAAAAGAGCCTTACACTTTWTTGAGGTATCAGCTCCTCTGAGAAGCAAAAAAGAAAGATAGACAGAAATAAAGCAATGCTTTTGTCTCTATTTTTCGGACAGTTTAATATTCAGTTGCTGTTTAGTATGATGAAACACGTAACATGTAMGAAATTGATATGTTTGATTGGCAGCCTCTTCTATCAATTTCTCTTAACCATCATGCACTGGTACAAGTAAGCTATGACAAATATTTTAAGTTTCAGGGTATACAGACATTCCTCACTATATATAAATATTTACCACAGGAGTATTAYAAGGCAGCCCTAACATTGCCAAAGACTACAGAGCTTTTAAAAACAATTGATTACAACACGATACWCCCCGGTGGCTCATCATAAGCCAACAGCTCTGCAGCACAGGCATGACCTTGTCCTCCGGCCACTTCCAGTGACACTCACTTGGGCCACCTGCTTGTACTAAAAATACCAACGACACAGGGCCCATCCAAATAAACCTCGTGAGGCAACGCAGGAAGAATATCTTTCTGCTTTTTAGTGAAAGCGAGGGGACGTTCCATCCACTTATCCCGTGCTTCTTTTCCCCAAGCGACAGTAACTCATCTTCCAAGAAAAAACAAGTTTCTCCATACACCAAGTGGCGCCCAGCAAYGCTCCTTAAGGGATTACGCTAATCCATAAAACCTTGAAGGTCGCCTACTTCATAAAAAATTCAAGCGCGTTAATTTACCCCATTCACATCTTCTCTCACAACAGCGGTCTGTCTGTCTGTCCCTCTCTCTCCTTCCCCCGACCGCAGCTGCTTCCCGGGCCCCGCGGCTCCTCCTCCCCTGAGCCTCCAGCCCGCGGCCCGCCATCAGCCGCCCAGCCCAGGCGGCAACACGGCGGCACACGGGACCCTGGAGCCGCCAGCCGCTTTCCAGCCTGTCCCCGCACCCAGGAGGACACCCCGGGTGACAAACAAGCCCCGGCAGCGGGTSCCGTCTGCGCAATCTCCTCCTCTTCCTCCCTCCCTGTGCCAGTCCACGCCTCCCCCGGCCCCCGGTCACCTGCTCTCCCCTCCCGCCCGGCCCGGCTGCGGGACGCGGGTCCCTCTCCCGCTGTCCCCGCCAGCCCCGCGGTGCCGTAGGCAATACCCACCCGGCGGTGAGGTCCTGCTGGACGCTCAGCAGCCGCTCCCGCAGCGTCTCCAGCATCTTCACGGCCTCCCCCGGCTGCGAAGGCCAGCGCCGGGAGGGTGGGGCGCGGGCGGGGCTCGGCTGCGCTCCCGCCTCCGGTGCCGCCTCCCCTCGGCCCGCCCCGGCTCTTCCGCCTCTCCCGGCTCTCCGTGAAACCTTGAAAATTTGGGACGCGGAGCTTTGCTGGGGACAGCCGAGCCCCTCGTTCTGCGTCCCCCGTCGTGCGAGGGTTGAACTGCGTGTAAAGCCCGGGCAGTTTCAAGGGTAGATCCTGAGAAGTGTGTGAATCCCTGAAGGAGCRTCTTTTTAGAGGTTATTTTAAAGGCTACAGGTTATTTTAAAGGCTAACAGAGGTTATTTTAAAGGCTGGGACCCTCGCCAGAATGATTTTGACATCAGGGAAAGTAGAGTAAGAGTGACCTCCTTAAAGATACAAAGTTGATCGAGGGACTGGAGSGTCTSTTTTAGGAGGAAWGGCTCAGGGAGCTGKGCCTGTTCATCCTTTGGAAGAGGCAGTTGAGGGGGGACCATATAAATGTCCGTAAGTGTCTRAAGGAAGGAGGATGGAGCCAGGCTCTTCTTGGTGGTGTGAAGCAATAGAGCAAGAGGCTTAAACTGATGCTGAGGAAGTTCCACCAGAATATGAGGAAGAGCTTCTTTACTGTGTGGGTGACCAAGCACTGGGACAGGTTGCCTAGGGATTTGTGGTCTCCCTCTGTGGAAATATTCAAGATCCATGTGGATGCAATCCTCTGCCATGTGCTCTAGGATGACCCTGCTTGAGCAGAGAGGTTGGACCAGATGAACAACTGTGGTCCATTCCAGCCTGACTCATCCTGTGAACTCTGGGAATCTGGCTTTGTGACAAAATCTTTAAAAGTACAGACAGCGAAACCACTGGGTCTCCTGGGGGTTGCCAGATTCTCGGAGTAAGAGATAGATGATAACCTTTCAAAGTCTTTGCAAAACAGGTAGTTGAATTATTTTTCTATGTGTCCCACTGCTGTTTGCTTTGGAGATCTTTTATAGATKCAACTGATTCTTACAAACAATGGCCTAAAAGAAAAAGAGCTGTTCTTACAAACAGTAAACAATGCAATGAAAAGCTTTAATTAAATTTCTAGGTACCATCTGCTCAAATAATAACTGTTAAGAGTCATTCAGCAAATCTTTAGACAGTTTAAGTGGAATCAAGATCTTTTCAAAACAATTGTCCAGTCTTTTTGGATGGCTGTATTTACAGTTACAGTAACAGGAAGACAGTCTCACACATTGCTTGTTTTCAGTTACTGTTAGAGCAACATGGACCTAGGATTTAGATGGATCTGGGAAATCTTCTAGACTTCCATTTAATTTAGACTTCCACTTTTACAAGAAGCTGAGATTTCAGAGTCAAGGCATTTTATTTGCTAACCAATTCAATTTTAGTTGAAAGTTCAAAGAAATGAGGTGAAGAGCACTAMAATAATTTGTTACAAGGAGAATGTATGCAGAGGGGAACTGCTGGATGTGTCATTGGGTTCTGCAGAAGTATATTCAGGAGTGCTTKGAATTACTTTGAATCAACTGGAAAATTGACCCCATAATCCCAACACAGCTTGTGTGCTTTTAGAAGAGTATGTGACCTATAGATTATTTCTGATTTGGCATATGGAAAAACAGTATTGCTCTGTGGTATAAGTACAAATTAAAAGCGAAATGCCTGCTAGAAGAAAAATGATTGGGTTGATATGCCAAACATTGAGATTGATGTMACTTGCCTTAYCTTGAGGTCAGAAAGACAACTTTYRTGGCAGACTGCATATGAAGTKCTGTAAAAGAATGTATGACATTTARATGGTATTTTTCTCATGCTTGACCTAATAACAATATCTGGAAATAGAGACTTCCCACTTGCCTGGATAGTTAACTCTCCAGACTAAGAGGGGAAGGCCTTGAATCAGGTGCTTTCTGATGTWTTCACAGACATGCATCACAAATGCTGACATAAACTGTGCAATCTGGCYTTATGCAATATATGATGTTACAGAAATAAAGTGCTCAGAAGACAAGGCAGGGATTTTAACTTGTAATTTTCAGCTTTCCTTTGAGAAGGCGTATGAATTTCTTTGGTGTTACATATTGTCAGTTTTCTTGTGAATGGCCTTTCTTTTATCAGTGGTGGCCCTGCTAATTCACAGTGAATAAGCACTTTTAGACTCCATTGCTACTTTTACAGTAAGAAAAACTATTCATAATCTGCTGTACAGTTTTGTTTCCATCTCTGTGTAGATTTGGGAGAAGAAATGTGTTGATATGGTATTAACAGTCACAGTAATTCTAGAAGTACAAGACTGAAGAGACTTCTAAAAACACTTGCCCTGCTCAGGGTCTGTGATGAATTATAAATACTGTGTAAAGTTTTGTTTAACTGGTTCTTAGGAATTTAAAATTAAGGAGATTCTGCAAGCTGCTTATCAGCTCACATGTTTAGCTTGATCTTCTTTTTAGTTGCTAGAGTGATAGGCCTGGTTTCCTTTTTTTTTTCCCTTGTAGTCACTTTCCAAACTTTTCATATGTRTTGGTCTGAGCTGGACATGCCTCAGTTTTTCCTGAAAGTGCAGAGCTATAACATTTCCATCACTGAAGCTGAATTACATGGCTTCATTTTGAGCCTTACACAAGCTACATATTTATACTAATATATTARTATTACTATATATAGCAATATATATACTAATAGCAASTAATTTAACRAACAGCACTRAGAGGGGAACAGATCCTTCACGTGTTAATTCAGCACAGAGACGCCTAAGATTCTGCCAGGAGCTTTGGGTCAAGTTTTCTAGAGAAAAAATTAATGCTAAATAACTTTTTATTATCAATGACCTTTTCTGCTCATTTAGTAATTAAGTAGTTTACAGCTGGTTACTTGATATTAATTCTGACCTGAATTTGAGTGAGGACTTCCTAGTTTATTCTTCTGCTTCTCTGATACAAGCACATATAAAATCTTGTGCAAATACMCTCTAACTGGCTATGCTGGTCTGTACAACAAATGCATAAGCATTCTGTGCTTTTCACATCTCTGAAGAACAGTGATATGTCAGTAGCAATAAATATTTAAAGCAAAAAGCACAGAAATGTATTTGACTGTATAACCTTAGTGTCAAATGAACATTTCTTTACTTTTGTAGATTAACATCCCGTGGAGGCATAAATTAGGCTACTTTTCTGTGACAGATTATGCAGCCCAAAGTCATGCCTTTCCATAATTCAGCTTTTTCCTTGGCTTTAGTGGCCCCCATTTAGATTAACTTTAGATTAAACTGCTCTGAGAGAGTGAAGTAAGAAGTGGAAGTAATTTTTGTCCTCTTCTCAAGTCTTGCTGATAGTGTAGTTTAACAACCTTTATATTTTGGGTGCAAATATAAAACTTTTAATTTTTAATAATCTGTAGAATATGATTAAAACTCTACTAGTGGACATTATAGTTCTTCAATTCTACACATAYTTTGTTTAGCTAGCTGGTTCTGTACTGATATGAAGCTTAAATATTGTTAGATATACTTGAGATATATTACAAACTTTAATTCTAAAGATTTGCTACAATCATTTTAATTGATAAAGACTTAAGTGAAAGTGTGTATGAAGGTCTGATTCAGCATTTCCTTTAGGAATTCCCCTGCATGCTGAAAAGAAATGTTGSCACCTATCAAAGAGTTTTATGTGCCCAAAACTTCATCAGGGTTGCATGATRGAAGTAGAAACTAAATTTAACATTACATCATAAGAACTCTCTGTAACAGTGTCACTTATCCTGAGGCCTCATTACATTTCCGGCAGCTTCTAAGAGCTTCCTTTTCCAAATTAACTTTTATGGCATTCTAAGAAGAGTTATTTYCTGCTCTTTCCTATACTAACTCTTGGGGGTTTAGCTATGTAATAATCTCTGCAGCTGACACAAATTTTTTATGTTATAGGAATAGAGAATATTTTTTTRTCTCAACAAATAAAGGGTTTGTTTTTTGTTTGTGTGGTTGGGTTTTAATTTTTTTCCCCTGGAACTAGCAGAAGAAGAAATGGACAGTAATCATTATCAATCCTAAAGARGACTGGATGAATAATTTCTGCCCACAAGTAAAAATATTCTTGATTCAAGAATTAAATTATTATTCTTGTTCACACAAGAATAGGTATGGGACTTAATCTCCAGGTTAATACAGGTTCAAAGACCTGGTTTACATGTTAACTTTTTAATGGCCTACCTTTTTGACAGATGAAAGTTAATTATAAATCTACATTTAATCCTTTTCTATGAAAAATTTGAAGATTGGCTTAATCCAAATGACAGGTTTGTGTGTGTAGTACCCTGCACTAAGATAATGATTAAAACAGTGTTGGAATTGGTGAGCCCTCGGATAAGTGTGTGTTCTAAATGAGACTTAACTAGAGTAGAAAATAATCAAATCATATGTTGTTTCAGTTGCACTCTTTCTATGAAATAGATTGGGGGGGCGAGGAGGAAGGGTACATTCTAACAATAGATAAAAGTCACGGTGAAATTCCTTGATCCTAATTTCCCACTCTCCTTACATTGTATCTGGTGAATCAGCACATACTGAATTTCTACTTTTCTGAGCTGTAGGGAAAATCTGGTGTTGGGGGGAATTGATGGCTAAACAGTTATGAAGCTAAACAGGAATTAGAATCCTCCTTCGGCAGTATCCCAATTGCTGTTGGGGAGAGGACAAGAACACATACCTTGGGCCAGACATTTCCAGCCTATGTT